TAAACTTTTCAGGGCGGAAAATTGCAAATTATTGCTGGATCGTTTACGTAGTGCTAAGCATACGTGAGGAAAAGTTGGTCAACCTTGGTGGTCTTCGGTATCACTGCACAATTAAACAATTTTTAAATAAAAAGTGGTAAGCACAGTAACGGCTTCGGTGATGGGGTATGCTGGAATACGGGGTTATGTTTGTGAAACAGCTGGTGCAGAAAGAAAATTAAGATTGAATATAAAATAAATAATAATACGGAACAAGAGAAGGAATCTTCGTTGCGCCATAAAGATAATTGGCGTTGCCACAATCCAGACTAATTTACCGGGGAACGAGGACACTTTCATTCGACGGTCTCCCGCCATGCATCGTCGATTGTTCCATAATGTTCCATGGTATCTGGGCGACGCGGTTATTTAAGAGTCTGGAAGCACGCGACACATCCGCACACAATCAGGGAAAGAGCAAGATGACTTGAGCCAGAAGGCGAAGTGAGGGTCGCGTAAAAAGTGTCGTAGGATGAGAGTGGCGCCGCGGAGAAATAGGGGTGTACTCAAAAGAACGCGATGCATAACTTGCAAACACACCGGAGATGTGTGCCCCGAAGACTAACGTGTCGTTTATACAGCGTGTTTCATTATTGCCGCCCGTAACCTTAAACAAGTACGACGCAATTTTATTGAAGTATTACGTGAACGAACAACAGCAATGTAAAGCAAATATACATATAAAATGAAATTGATTATAAGCAATCGATGGGAATATTTTGATTAATGAATTATAATTAATCTCGTCTGGATATTAATATTATTAATATTAATGGGAATTACTAATATTATAATATAATATGACATGAACTCAGTTTTCGATGTTTTCAGTCGACTTGTATCTTGCTCATTTTTGGACTTAGCAACTGCCTTGCTCTGCGATCGCATTATATCGTCAAACTATTATATAAACACACACACACACACACACACGTTCGTGACATACATCTCCCTGCCGTCAGAACTCTGCTTGGATTCCTAGATTCCATTCAAAAACATTTCAATCGACACCGAACCTCAACCCCAACAGCCACTCGATCTGTTCTGCACATCCCTGAGTACTTGTCGTTCACATCCATTCTGCGAAAAGTTCATTCACATCCATGATACATTATATTATACCTTTACTTAAATATGATCATTTATATATAACTCATATTTTTCTGGATAAAAGGTTTCAAGTGATCGAATCTATGATTTGGGGATTACTTTATTTTGGAACACCCGATATAAAGGCTGTACACGTAGCGTCACCTTCACGACGCCGATGAACTACCCTTTTAAGCCCGCCCTTCTTTCCCTGGCATGCGTTTAGACGACAACCGCGCACCGCGTGCACACGATGGCCGTAAGTACGGTGTACACGTAAGTACAGTCTGATCTAACTTTACCCTCAATCCGTTGCCATCGAGGACTTTGAATTTCGACCAGCCAAACGATCGTCTCTTTATTCCCTTTCCTATTTTCTGCTTCTCCTTCAGTCAGAGATGGATAGAATTTTTTTCAATCAGTAATACCAAGAAAATAGAATAAGAATATATAGAAATAATAAATGTAGAATCCCTTTGTTACCTGTTTTACCTTTACTCATAATTACCACATCCTGCTTGTACAATGAATGGTGTAATAGGATTGTACATTTAAAATTGTAATTTTCATCCACCAGCGAACGACTCGAGAGCTGTTTATCTTTTATTCGTCGTTCAAAATTTGTATGTAGATGAGAATTTTGCCCATCCCTGTTCCTCGACCCATTCCACGCTGTCTAGTAGTGCTCCTTCGCCCTAAGCAGCTGGAATCCCGAGCAAATTGAAGGCGACTGTGAAACTCGAGGGGCACCACGTATGGCCAGACAATTTCGCGTACGTTTCGACGGACGTGAAACGAGTATTTGAATGTCTGTGCACACTCCATTTGAGGGGCTGCGGGTAGACTCGGTTCTGGCTTATCAGGTGGCGACGCTACCAAACGTTTTTGTCGTTATCCTTTACCTAAACGCTCGACGTGCTTATTGTCACCTTTATTTCCCTCTCCCTCTGGACTTAAAACTAGGAGCTATTGCGCTTTCCGCTTCTAAAGTGCGTTTTCGTGATATTAATACTATTCGAACAAAAACCTTTGTGTCACTTGACCTTTATTTAAGGAAAATTATGTAAAAATATTCTCAACTCTGTTAGATCATTTTGCATATGAGCTATTGACTGAACAAATCGATTAATTCTACCAGTCACGTAAAAATTGTAACATTACTGACGATTGTTTTTTGGCTATTATTTCTAATTGATTTTATATACCATTAGATAAAAGTTACATCTGTATTTATGCATTCTACAATATTTATTTAAATTTATACTATAAAGGCAATTTTAAAAAATAATGTACATTATTTCATCGCATTTTTCAACTTTCTGTTTTATGGGGTTAATCGATTTGTGCAATTAACGGCTCGTATATGTGTATCGCTAAAGAAAAAATTGGGTGCAGTTAGTATCGGACTTAGATCTTTAGAATTTGTATAAGACGCGCGAAGGGCCATGGAAATAATAGAGATGCGAGTTATAAAATATAAGGAAAGAAAAATACAGTGAGAAACAATGAAGAAATAGGACGGACAGAAGCTTGGAGGGAAGGACATTGTTTTATGGTGATCGGGTGGCGCCTCGTAATTTATGATTGGACTCTAAATGTCCAACTGGACTCTGGGGTACGGTTGAACCTTCATCGTCCAAACTATCAGAGGGACACGACTGAATGGAGACATTTCCGGGTAATATGGCAGTTTGCTGGCGTTCGTCATTTTATATTTCAGATAAAATGAAGAAAACGTCGATGCAAACATTGCAAAATTCACCGTGCAACACTTAATTGGGGAATGCGAGGAACTGAAAGAAGACGGAAGGAATCTGCGTATTTCAAAGACCTTTAGATATAGTACATTGAACAGACACAATTTACTGGTCTAAGTATAAGGATCCCATTTACATAAACATTTACATAAATGTTGTCGCTAATAACCTAGATGTGATGTGACCTTAAATAAAATCTTTAAAACAAAAAAACATTGCAAAATGTTATAGGGGTGTAAACAAAATTTTTTAAAGGCCACTCGAATTCCCCTAAAACATTTGAAAATTAAATTATTTCGATAGTCCCAGCCTTAGTGGAGATATTAGGTTATCTCAACAGTTTCTTTCGTTTTATTAATAACTAATACATACACAATATTTTATGTTTTATATTACATTACTGAATTGTGTACGATTTATTTTGCTCCATTACTGTTACGATATGAATGTCTAAGAAATTAGATTGTCTATTTATATAAACACTGCCACACAAAATCATTGAGTGTAGCTCAGGAAAAAATTTTTTTGGGACAACGTAATACATTAGTACATAAATCCTTCTCTATGAATTGAGGTGCAACCTCTCTCTCGCAAATCTGTTATTCCCATTCGTAGGACTGGACGGCATGTCGCGACCCGATCAGACATTTTTATCACGGCCACGCAAATTATGCTCGTAAAGTTACTTCGACACGCAACGGAATAATCTTGCAGACTTTTCCCGCGATAGACTCGACGGACTGCCTTTCCATTCATTCCGGTGGGACGATAAACCGTCGTAAATCTGTCTTCCTTTATCATCGACTTTCGTTCATTTTGCTACGCATTGATTTACTTCTGTCCCCGTCCGATTGACCTCATATTCTGCTTTGTTACTCCTATCTTCCCTTCTTTTTACGTCCCAGCGATGTTCGACGATATTGTACACGCTCGCGCGATGGCCAATAACGCGTAGTTAGTTGTTCTTCCAATAACGAACTTCGAGTATGACAAAGCAACGCTTTAGGTAATCGTCCAGCGCTTTACGAACTATTGCTCAATTTTAGTTTAACGTTTGGATATATTCGTGGCTTTAATCAACAGTTTTACAATACACAAAGTTCGTGGCAAACTCTAAGAATATTTCTAATACGCTAAATCAACCGTACTGAAAGCGAGCGAGGTTAATTGAGGGTTTTTAAAAAACCAATGCATAGATAAGTCCCACAATGCCCCTCTACTTACTCGACGTACTAATTACGGAGGTTGAATGAAAACTAATTCCTTCGCCTTCATAGCTTGGGTTCGAATAAGGATATTTTAATGAGGTAAACTGGAAAATAATCCTTGGAACGAGCTCCACCGTTGCCTGTACTTATTTTCCTTATAACCACCCCCATTAGCCAAACTGTCGTGCTAATGGTGAATAGGTGTATTAAAGAACTTGTTATTTTGACAGCCTTTCATTAATTTCCTTGTATCGAGGGACCCATTTGTAACAAATTCAATTCTTCAACCTTTTAGTAAAATATACTTGTTTTTAATGACTGAACTAATGACAGATATTGATATTGCGGGCCTTTATGAATGAAATGTTTTCAGACCGAAGTCCGTGAATATTGTAAGTCCGACTTATTTGTATAAATCCGTCTTATACAAATATTCAAGTTCTCAAACTTCCCTTGTCAATTCTCATTTCTCTAACAATATAAAAATAGGGTGCATCACCGCGCCTAACCAGGTGAAAAAACTTTAATCGTGACAACGCACTGACTTCGAAAGTCCGTGGCAAGTTTCCACTGAAGGTGCCACTTCCCATCCCCAGTAGTTCAAAAATTAGTTCGACCTGATTAAAGTGTGCGCATTACACGCCACGCGGACACGCAATTAAAACAGCCATAAAAAATGTATACCCCGCGTTAATTACCATTCGGTGGCGGCATAGGCGTTCTCCTCTCCACCCTTCCCCCTCCGCTCTCCTGTTATCCCTGTATCAGGAATTTAATAATGCTCCCGCAGGGACGTGGCAAAAAGGCAGACCCGCGCCACGAGCCGCGAGTCCCCGATATCGATCACACCCATAAACCTGTCCCACCTCGTGATTTAATGGCAAACCATCCATCTTGGCTGTTTCAGTGTCACCGTTACCTGGGGATTGCCGTTGCTACTTACAACGTGGAATCTTCGAGTCAGCAATCAAGAGCGACACATTGATGCACCACCGGCGATCGATCCGCGGAGGAAGTGACGAGGCACCGACGACGCGCCGCCACGGAAATCTCGCTAGACGTGAGTAAATCCACTCCATCCTCCTGCAAAATCGAATTCCCGGTTCATTGTTCACCGAGTGCGCGGAAATTCTCAGCCACGATGGATCTACATACTCTCAGGTCGGAAAAACCCCCCTGTCGAAACCAATCTCTCCGTCGAGTAATAATCGCTCGGTCGAGCCACGAGACTCGCGTGGAATCCGTACAGTGGATTTTCTCTAAGTGTCGCGATAATTCTCTCCTCAACCTCTGCTTATACAAAATTATTCTTCATGGAAAAAATTCTACGCGGGTCTATTCGTAAATACTGATAAGGAATATCGGTTGGATGGGAAGTTTTGGAGAATATAAATGTTCATATACAAATTCATACTACAAATAGAAAACTTGGATCCGTGTGTATCGAGACATCGCTCCAGTAGTACGACTGCATCGCCATTGTTGGTGCGATGGACACGTGGGGAAAGGGACTGTTAAGGGCTGATGATATTACCTACGATACACGTACACTCGCGCACGCTCCACTACGAACAGATCCAAATTACTGGGGCAAGACGCGGTGCACCGCGGTGCATTCTCGTTCGCGCTTGCATTCGGATTCATAACTGCTACGACCGCCAGTTTCAGCGAAATGGAGGCGCTTATCAAATGTCGGAATTATCGGAAAGTAAAATTATACCGGTGCTATCGAGATCCCCTGGCGTCCACGGAGAACGATACCTGTATTTTTAGTGCAAATCGATACGTAACCCCGCGGTAGGAAGGGTGAATTTAAATTTGCAAGGAAGGAACGGAGTTGCACAGATTATTTGCACTCGAAGGAGAAACGGAAGATGCTCTGTTCGGCGCTTCCCGCGTTGCGAATGAATATTGATCACGAGCAGTAAAAAATTTTATTCCACTTTGATTCGCTGCTCGAATTACCAAGTACTGTTCTCTGCTACCAAGATCAGTGTGCGTTTTGATGACTATCGAACTTGTTCTACAACCATAGAAATATTCGTTCATGAATAACGAACGTTGCTTGTACATCCTGTTCCATTTGTCTTTTGCGTTGCTTTCACGTTCGTTCTTCGTGCTGGGTTTTTGCGATAGTTGAATAAATCAGCGACCTTTGTCGTCGATAGCTTTTTTGAGCCATTATATCTTACGCTTTTGTTACGCGAACTCGCTGATTCTACACGGATTTTATCGAATCGTCAATATTTCATTATATTTATCTAACCAAATCGAATCGCGAGTCAAGTATCCAGCTTCGGCGATTTCAACGAAAACTGTTACACAGGACTCATCAAACGGAAGAGAAGAAGATCAAACTTGTTCGAAGAACTGTATTTGTACTGTCTGATTCGATGGATCCTAATGGATTTTTTCAAGAATTCGTACTGACTAAACGGCTAGACCATCATCGAAGTTGGATAACCCAAAAGGGACCTTGCATTTTGAAACATATACAAACAAACACAACAATTTTACAGACAACCACTGTATATTTGGCTTGAGATAATCTTCAAATTCGAGACGTAGTCTGTCTGTTAATTATTGAAAAAAGAAGAGTAAACAGCTCTCTATGGGTCCGTGAAACTTTAAGATCACATGCTAATATATCGATATTTCGTCAAATAATTTTAGTCTTTTTATAAAATGATGTATGCTTACGTCTTAGTTGAGCCGTTCATTGCAAAAATTGATTAACTCCACTTTTTGAAAAATCTTAAATTTAAGTGTCAAAGCACTTGGTATAGCCATAACTTTGTATATTTATAATAACTTCCCTGAATAATAAAGATTAACACAATTAAACGACTAAATTTCGATGGCCATTGAATAATAAATAATTTATATCAGAGGCCATTGCGATCGCATTTGTCCTCCAACTCCTTTTATGGAGTTCTTTAACAAATCTTTCGAATCATCTACACGAAGACACTCGAATGTTCCAAACAGAAGCTTATCGCTGACACATTACGAAGTCTAGCAATCCTATCCTGATCAGTGGCGAGACCACAGCAATGGTATTAGATGGCTTCGTGTATGGGCTAACCACACACCTATGACTCAAAAGATCATGAATACGATGACACGTACACGTCTGCGTCATCTCGCGCACATTGTGACAACGCATTCGCGAGATGAGTCAAACGCGTGCGTGTCACTCACAGTTTGCGAAATTCCAAACGCCCACGTGCGCGTTTATTTCGTCGTTATGTTGATTCAGATTCGCAGCAACATGGATCGCTGTATCTATGACTGATACGCATCTGCTGGTCCGCAAAGTCACACGTGTACGTGAGCCACTTATTCATTAATACATTAAGACAGAGAAAAGAAGAATAAACAATCGTCAAGTAATATAGAAAAAGAAGAACAACTAGTGCAAGAAAATGGCTTCTTGGAAATCATGTTTAACTCTGCAATACTGCTTCCCACATATAATCTCCTTAACACTACTCTGGGGAACTGTACTCGTCGACCACGAAACTAGGCAACAATAGCTCAAGTGGTTGAAAAGCACAATAACAACGCAACCACTTCGAATAGGTCCAGAGCTGATCTTAGATAAATCTATTATTAATTAGTTGAATAATTAATTAGTTGATAATTAGTTGAATATACTGTCTTTGATATGGCACTTCTGGCATAGTTCAAAACAGTCCTATAACATTTACACATACATTAGCTATTCTCTGTGTTCTCCCTTACATCAGGCTAATGATGATCTTATGTCGGCTCGTTGACACGAAAGCAGCTGACATTCAGAACGACAAAGTTGTATACGTCGTTACCCAGGTTGCAGTATGTTACATGTCAAGTGTCATATACAACTGATGGCTAGAAGGCAGTCGGATAATTGATAAATACTCAGCACTCTTTATAGTATCATGCCTAATATCTAAAATTAATAAAAATTATTACATAATCCTGTATATCATAATTTCTAACTCAAAGGAGATTAAAGGAAATGCTTGAAGAGCATCCTGTCTCAACGCAAGCACGTCCTGGAAGCAGCTGAAACAAACAAGAATGGAGAATGGTGTGCTTCTCCGTGGTTTTCCAGGATGTCCTTAATCCTGGAAAGAATTCGATGGAGTCGCACAAGACATTTGCAAAGTTATTCGACCCGAATTCCGCGAATTCCGGTTGGAACGCGCCAGTGTCAATATTGTTTGGCGCATCATCGTACGTCAAGTACTCCTTTGATACCATTCCATACGCAAATGACACGTGGTCTATGCATAGCAAGTGCATCGATGCGAAATAAAATTACTCCTCAATGGAAATTGAACGCGTCGAGCGGGGGATACGTTCTCAGCAATCAGACGTTATTCGCAAACCTTCGCGGATCGCACGCTCCGCGCTTCTTTCGAGCGCCAATTCGTCTGGGGCAGAGAAAGACGGTCTGAAGTCAAGAAAATAGGAATAGAAATGGCCAGACGCGTTGATCACGATGCAGAGAACGTATCAGAGGTTGAAAGGGAACATCCGGTGACCCTGTTTCGCTCCCTTTTCATACGCACTAACGTAACTGAAACGAAACTGGGATACCCTCGCGCGGAAATACGTCAGTGGGTAAATAGGTCCACAGAAAAAACGTATCGCTATTGCGAAATAGGATGGATAGAGTCTGCTAATCGCGATTACTTCGCAATGCTGCAGTTGGCTGATGGTCTAAGCTAATTTCGATTAGCTTTTACCGGCCAACCATCATCAGCATGGTTGATTGACGGCCGTAGCTGAAAGTGATTACAGCTCCCTGCCGATCGTAATTTATTTCAATTCTCCTCAACCAACAGCTGAAATGAAGCTTCGTGGAAAAGGACATCGCGAGGTTCTGGAGTCTGCAGGACGAAACTGCAAATTTGAAAGGTGGATACGTTTAAAATATTTGCAGAGAAAATATTCTTAGTAACCTCCTTCTTTTCGAAGTCGGTTAAAAATATGTTTTAAAATATCAATGCTGTAAATATAGTCAGTCGCATAAGTATTCGTTCCGTTAGTGTCTATTGAAAAAACTTATCTAAATTAAATGAATGTTTGACGTTTCTAAATAAATGTTTCATTATTAGGAATATATATCAGGAATAGAATTTGAGGTGACGAGAATTCACGTCAGCGGTCGCGAATGTGTTAATATGTAGTGGACAAACTTTACATGAATTGAATATCTGGAAAACAGATTTTATATAAAATTAGATCACGAAACAAGAGGAGCTCGCGCCGATAAGTAATATTTCTGGAAAATGACTGGCAGAGGGTGGTTATCAGCTAGCTGACGTCACGATTCAGACGAACATCGGACAGTCGCATCATCCAACCTTTTCATAAAGAAGGATCATAAACGTTATTAAAAAATTTACGTTATTTTTACGTCAGCCTGCGAAGCTCTTCGAAAAGTCCCTCCACTTTTTTTCCCCAACGAAAGAGACGTTAAATTCTTTACGAACCCTTAGCGCAACCGGTACTACTTATCTCGTCTGTCTTTCACTCCACTGTCCCCCTGTTCGAAATTACATTTTCCACGCTTAACGGCCAGACAGAATTTGTCCCCCGAACATCCACCGATACACTCGCCTTTTTGGCTACTCTCGCGCGGATACTCGTCCCGTCCTACATCGAACTGAAGAGGCTCCTAAACTCTGACCAATTTTACAGCCAACCGGTCCGACATAAACTCGTAAAAGCGAAATTCAATACAGGCGCCGTACGAGTCCCGTGTAACAATAAAATATTTATACGCGACAATGATGCGTCTCCGTCTCGTTCCTTTTCTTAGTTATTTCACGTGAACATAAAATTGAACGTTCGCATTACCCGAGGACGTCTCAAGTCCGTGGTACGATAACGGATGGAGCCATTTTTTGGCGAAATCCACGATAAAGCAGGGCGTCGAGACAAATCTTCGTTTCCATGGTTTATCTTCGCGTCTTGGGTCGACGGGTTCCACAGGGAAGTCGACAATATGAAACGTCATCGATACTTTTGTTTATGACGATCCAACCATCTCTCCAAGTATGAATC